AAGATTGTTAGGTAAGTGAATGTAGGGGGATATTGTAGTGCAAGATGTTATTATTGTGTAATGATGAGGATCTGTGTGTGTGTGGGGGGAGGAAGTTAGTAGGTCATCATATGGACAATTCGTTCTTATATAGGCATGGGTTTTCTTGTCTCTGTACAATGCTTTGGTGTGATGTTTAAAGAATTACTTGTCTGTACACCTATATGGGTGGGATTTAGGGTATTATAGTTCGGTATTTTTGCTGTAGGGGGTATAGGTCATTACGTATACAAGATGCTTAGTTAGCAGACTTAAAACGATAATGATTAATGATAAAACAACCTAATCCATATTACATAACCAAGTCTAACTTAGTAGTACATTTTTATCAGAAAACTAGCCTTGTTGAAATGATTTTTTACTCCCATTTTGTTTGGAGTTTGAAAAGAAATGGCGAGGGTTAAACAAAGCTCATTTATTTATTTATATACAAGAAGGTATATAAGATTTTTACTTAATTTTTAGTTTTGACAGATAAGACCATATTAAATCAGATACAAGTCATACTACATACACGATGACTCGCAAACAAATGTTAAAACCTATCTAACCTAGGGTTTCCGGGTTCGATCCCCGGTGAAGGCAGAGACAAATGGGCAAAATGTTTTTCATCCTGATGCCCCTGTTACCTAGCAGTAAATAGGTACCTGGGAGTTAGACAGTTGCTACGGGCTGCTTCCTGGGGGGGGTGTAACAAAAAAGGAGGCCTGATCGAGGACCGGGCCGCGGGGACGCTAAGCCCCGAAATCATCTCAAGATAACCTAGCTCAACCCAACCTAAACTAACCAAACCAAGAATCAACCTAACCCAAACCAATGGAGTCCAGTACAGCTTAACCTAAGCTAATACATCCTACCATAACAGTATAGTGTATACGGTTTTAACAAACGGGAAAACGAGCATCGTCGAATTTTTTCATGTCCAAAAAGTACCATCCATAAAGTTTGATACGTTAGGATGTATTAGCCAAGATTAGGCTGTGTTAGGCTTGGTTGGTTTGAGTTAGCCTGGGTAAGGTTAGGTAAATTTTCCAATCCATTGGTGAACAGTCATGTGTACAGGGTGACACATTATTACAGATCGTTTTACTAGTGATAAAAAAGCAATGTAGGACTAACACAACTATTGGAAAACAACAGTTGTGTTATCAGTGTATAGTAGTAATTAATAATTTTGTACAAAGTTTGCATAAAAATGTTAGGTGTTTCAAGTAACTCACTAGGTTCTGGTAGACCTTTCATGACCCGTATAAAGGCCAGGCTGTGTGTGAAGAACTGTTAAAACCATCAACAGGTAATATACAGAAATGTTTATTGAACTAAATGCAGCTGGCCGAAGCAGCCATTGACATGAAACTGTTAGCGGCCAGTTTCATGTTAGTTAGTTCCAGGGACACATTCTAAATATATCAAAAAAGTTTCAAAAACTGTGGGCATTCTTTCTAAGATCAAATATTATGTACCACCCCCTGCCCTGGTGACTCTCTATTACTCCCTTATCTATCCTTATCTCAACTATGGTATTTGTGCTTGGGGTTCTACTACCCAAAATCACTTACGTCCTCTAATTACCCAACACAAAGCTGCTATTAGAACAATATCCAACTCTGGCCCCAGACATCACTCGGTACCCCTACTCAAATCTCTGAATATGTTAGATATTAAGTCACTGCACATTCTCTCATGTGTATTATACATATATAAAACGCTAAACTATAATGCCAATCCTGATCTTAAAAGCTTCATAGAAGGTTGTAACAGAACCCATGAGCACCACACCAGAAATAAATACAGTTTTGATATTCCTAGAGTACGTCTTAATCAAACTAGAAATGCTCTGCAAATCAAGGGGCCCAGAATGTGGAATGACCTTCCCAACCTAGTTACGTATTTATGGAAACTCTCCATCAGCGACCACATAACCAGATTTTAAAATGCACTATAATCTTAATTTGAATATATTTTGTTATTACAGTACTGTATCTGGTTTTCTTTACTAAGTACAGTATTTATATCATCCTACCCACAACAGTTGTTTAATTTCCGAGTACCTGTTTACTGCTAGGTGAACAGAAGAATTAGGTGAAAGGAAATGTGCCCAGCCATATCTGTCCTGACTGGGAATTGAACCCAGGATCCCCAATTGGGAGTCAAGGGGGAAGGCAACCGATTTTTACCTGACTTTACCTGAGGGCCACTAACGTATTAGTGGCCTCGACGAGAACAGAAAAGCTTGTCCAAAGTCCCCTCATTTGCCTTGATTATTTTTTTCCAGTTGGATTTTAAAATGTAAGAGTTTGGGCAATTATGTTTGGCAGGTAGGCAGTTCCATGGGTTTATAACCGTATGGGGGTAAAAGGCATCTCTTGTTTTCAGTCCTATGTTGTGGTTTGTTGAGCTTTTATAAGACATTATCTGGATCAACATCCTCCAAATTGTTCAGTATTTTAAAATTTCAATGAGGTCTGCTAAGTCATGTCTGGTTTGAAGTGTTGTTAGTGCTGTGGCCCTCAACTGTTCCTGGTATGAGAGTTGATTACACTGTGATACCCTCAACTATAATAAATTCTGTTTTCAGACAACATACAGCCTCTTTGCTCAAACCCCTGGACATACTAAACATTTAATCCGTACTCTTCATTCTCTTCACATTATAAACACTTGCAAAGCTCTGTTCCTTAATACTAACTCAGATTTTAAACTTCCGAATTGTATGAAATAAGAATGTTTGTGATGTTCTGCATGAACATCACTGCTGAAATATCTCTAAGATTCTCTATGCAGGTCTCTATATAGAGAGACCAAATGTGTGGAATTTCCTAACCCAATGTCTTCACTTTAGTATCCCACATTGTGCTAATTACTCATCTAGTGCTGTACTATCTACAAATGCACTCCATCAACATAATTTCTCATCACCCTTATTACTACCTTACCTCTCGCTTAACAATTAGCTTAGCTTAGATGTCACGCTATTGTGATTTCTGTGTATAATGAAGTAAGGGCGAAGAGGTAGAACGGCCTATTGACATAGCTCGAGTGCATGGGGGGAGTTGTGTAAAATCCTGGTTTGTCTCTCGGAGAGGCTGCAGGATCCAAGTAAATTCAGAAGAATTTCTGGTTGCAATTCTTATACCATGTCGTAGCTCAGTCGATTAAGGCAGCGTCTGGGATGCTCTTGGACGCAAGTTCGAATCCTCGTCACGGCCCCTTGTAGATTTGTTCTCTTAAGATTAACTGTTTCCCTTGTACAATAATTTAAAATTCACTGCAAATTTTGCGTTAGCTTTAAGATTTGCCTAAAATGCTATGCATGTTAGTGGCTTTACAAGAATGTACAGATAATGGCGATTCATTTGTACAAATAACCCATTGTAGTGAATAATATTGTAGTGTCAGGGGGGACCTAACGGCTGAGTGGACAGCGCTCCGGATTTGTATTCCTAAGGTTCTGGGTTTGATCCCCAGTGGAGGTGGAAACAAATGGACAGAGTTTCTTTCACCCTGATGCCCCTGTTACCTAGCAGTAAATAAGTACCTGAGAGTTAGACAGCTGCTACTGGCTGCTTCCTGGGGGGGTGTAACAAAAAGGAGGCCTGGTCGAGGATTGGGCCACGGGGACGCTAAGCCCCGAAATCGTCTCAAGATAACCTCAAAATACTGTAGTGTAGTGGTCAACACAGTCAGCTCGCAATTGAAACGTTCGGGATTGATTTCTGCCACAGGACAGGGACGTTTGGCACGTTTGCTTTTGCCCGATGCCTGTGTTCACCTAGCGGTAAATAAGTACCTAGGAGTTGGGCAACTATTGTTGGTTGCATCTTGGGAAAGACTAGTAGTTGGCCTAGAGGGGACCTTGATAAACCTAATTGGCTTTGTCCCAATGGGAAATCATACTTAAGTACGATACAAGTAAAAAACTTTTCAAAATCTTTTCTGTGGAGAGCCTTGTAGGCTCCAGGGAGCCTCTGAGCTCACCCAGAAAATGGTGTTTCATTACATTCAGTGCTGTATTTTTTTTTTCAAATAATGTTACTTTTGTGAGGGTTTGTGTACAGTAATTATTGAACTTCATTGTTGTTTGTATTTGTAATATGTTCTTTCATCTTCCCTCCTGATTTTCCATAACTAATCACTTCTTGCAAAGAGAATTATAAAACCTGTGTTTATTGAATTCATTTTATTTGCCTTCTCACTCATGCTTTAATGTTACTTATTTGATCAATAACACCTTACTGATACAGTAATAATAATAATACATTAATATTACATTTTTATACATACCAACTGCAATATAATGTAATTTGACCATTGACAGGTACAAACCATCAGCACAAGGGACTCCAGGGGCCCCTGGTGAAGATCCAACTACTGACTACATGAATGTACTAGGCATGATCTTCAGCATGTGTGGTCTAATGATGAGAGTAAGTTTTGGGTTTCTGGCATTATAGGGTCTGTTCTGAAGCCCACGGTATCATCCCTATTGTCTACCACTATCATCCCAATTCATCCTGGCACTAGCTTGCTCAGTTTTTTTTGTTTTCAACTCATATTTTATGAACTACTGTATATTGTATGTAAGTGATGTTGGCATTCATGGGAACATTTTCTGTGGGAGCCATGCTTTTTGTATTGTTTATATTCATGCTTCACTTGTCAGTTTAAGGCACCCATCTTGTGTGCCCTTAGCTGTTCATTCATTCATGGAATGAAAAAAAAAAGATGAGAAAAATGATGATGAGATGAGATGAAAAAAGATTTAGTTTCTCAACTCTCTGCCTTGTAGCTAGTTTGTATTACCCATTCCCAACAGTAATATTTTTCAAGATTCTGGGTGTTGTCCTAGTCAGGGCTTCTCCTTTTGAGTTGCCATTACATCAGTACTGCTTGGGACTCGGTCCACGTGGCCAGGCCTGTTGCTGGGTATTTTAGTGTGTGTTATGTCTGATTCTGACTCGTGTGCCATGTTGGTGCCTTGCATCATCTTCTGTGTGTACAGTTGGAGTCACACTAATAATACTTCAATACCTGTCACATAGGTCTGATCTTTCTAGTTTTTTAATTGATAGGAGGTTGGAGAACCGTCAACTCAACCCTTGTGACTAACATGGATGTCCATTATTCGGTAATTATTGTGCCGAAGATTGTAATTAAGTCAAAATACATTTTCACTTTACTGAAAAATTTATGGCATGAGTGTGAAGTGAGCCAAAAGTGTGACAAAGCAACAGCAGTCGGCTGAATGCTGGGCATGGGGGAAGAGGGAGGGAGGGTGTGAGACTATCCCTTCCTCATTTCCTCTCTCAAGCTTGGTGAAAAAGTTCTCTCCTTTTGAATGTTTGGTTTCAATAAAGTTGTGTGTGTGTACATCTATAATTTTAATACCAAATTATCCGTGATCAGTATCATATGCCATAATCAAGACGCATCATAAAAGAATTTTTTGCGAATAATTTATTAATAATTCATTGTGTTGGAGGACTGGCAGCCAGGTTATACATACAGTACATGTTAGGTTTGTATCCAGGTTCCCCCCCCCCCTTTCCCCCCTATCCCTAGGGTCTAATTACTGACCCTCCCCAGTATGCAACCCCACAATAAGCTGACTGACTTTTGGGTACCTATTTCCTGCTAGGTGAACAGGTACATTAGGTGATAGGATACACACCCGCCATTTCTATCTTGCCTGGGATTTGAACCCAGAATTCTAGATTGCGAGTCAAGAACGAACTCGACTATACTACCGGTACCCTCAATTTACTGGGATTTATGTCAAGAATGGTTGAGTTTGTGTAAATCCTGGTCATTATGTTATGTTGGGACCACCAATAATTGTCATATACTGTAATTATGATTTTTAAATGGAATTGTTTGCCAATGATTGCTCTATCATATGCCATTGTCAAAATGATAAGTACACTGTACTGTAATAGATCATGTTGGACCACAAATTTTAGATCCATTTGGCATAGGGTCTCCATTTTTGTGCAACTCTGGAGCTCTTCTCAGTGTTACCTTGAGGTGCTTCCGGGGCTTAGCGTCCCCGCGGCCCGGTCGTCGACCATGCCTCCTGGTTGCCGGACTGATCAACCAGGCTGTTGGATGCGGCTGCTCGCAGCCTGACGTATGAGTCACAGCCTGGTTGATCAGGTGTAATTATATGTTTAGAGCAGGGTTCTTCCCAGCTGGTTTCACCATTTGTGTTGTCTTCAAAGATTGCCTTGATAGCATTGCTCTAGTTGTTTGAGCTGCTGCTGTGGGATGTGGTTGCATATTTACACTATATGCGGCCTGTCGTGCTTTCCAGCGTGCAGTTCTAGATCATCAGGAATCTTCTTAGTTGTATTCCTTGCGGTTTGCCTCTCTTTTTACACCCTTTCTACTTTCTGGAGGGAAAGGGAAGGGAAGGGAATTATTAGGAGAAATCACTAAATCATTATAACTATATAGCATTTGGAAGGGATCAATATAAGGATTTTTGATGGGACATGGGGACGAAATTGTGCCCAACCACTTGGACAGTCGGGGATTGAAAACCGGCTTGCAAAAAAATGGGCCTTCGCTCTACTGTCTAGCCCAAGTGGTTGGGCGGGAAGGGAAGGTAGATCAATCTTTGATAGCTGGCAGTGCAGTATTTTAGCCTCAGTCTGCTTCAGTTGAGTTCTTCGGATCCAGCTTTGGGCCATGTGTAGATCCATATCTCCTGGTTCCTGGCTGGGGTAGGGGTTCTAGTGCATCGTTCGCTCTGGACAGTGCTCCTGTTCACCCTTCGTTTTTGAAGTGTTGACCTTTTAGGCAAGTTGATTGAAACCTCAGGTAACCTCAGGGCTGTCATCTGGTGGAAGATGGGTAAATCAAGGGCCTACCAGAAAAAGATGTTTAATTATACAGTATTCAATGCTTAATTTTCACATATATAGTACAGGGCATACCTCAGAATAAGAGTTTAATCCGTTCCTGGAGACGTGCCTTCCGAAAACTCGCATTCCGAAGTTAATTTCCCCATAAGAAATAAAGGGAAATGAATTAATCCTCTGACTACCCCAAAAACCCCACATCAAACTAAATTTTTATACCTAATTTACCTAATTCATCTAAATAAACCTACAAAACTGTGTTCCAGTGCTGTCGAGTGCTGTAGGCGTATGGAAGATGGTGAGGAGGGGGGAGGAGGAGAGGAGTTACTGTTTGGAAGGGGAGTCCCCTTCCATAATCACTCACATAACCCCATGCCTTGTAACACTATGGATACCACTTCTCTTTCTAAATTTTTCAAAAGCTCCTGCTTGCCTTAAACTCTTTCTTATCTGCATCACTCGTTGCAGGGGTATTCTTTAGAAGGTCTTCGTGCAACACCCTGGCTTTCTCACAAATAATGGCCTCCGAAACACTGACTCCTTGTCGTACATCCAAATTAATAACAACTTTTCCACTTCTTCAAGTATTTGTGGTCTTTGTGCCGTTAAGTTCTTACTCCTTTTGCCACTTTAGCACCCATAATCTTACTTCTTAAGTAGAGTGCATATTGTTGATGTGGCTTTGTTGTACTGCCTACAAATCTACCGTTCTCATGTGGAATTGTCATCCTCACATGAGCTTTCTGGCCTTTATCCTTACCACTGGCTTTCTTGGGACCCATGGTGAGATATATAATAACAAATTGTATAGACAAATCACCAAAAATCCAACAAAACACTATCCCGAGAAGAATTGAAGATGACAATAATTTACGTGCTAGGTCGGCTGTACGCGTATACAGTCCAAATCGCCTCGAAATGCTTTAATTTTTGGAGTAAATCACCTCGCCTTCCATATATTAGGTACACTGTACATGTTTTAAGTAAATAATATCAGACTTTATCTTGGATCATTTTCTTATTTAGGGTTTTAATCTTATAATACTTATATTGAGGAATGTGATTTCTACTCACTTTATGAATTTTAATCCTCCAAATACTGTATTATTAAAACTATGATTATAGAAATTTTAGACATTGTTGTTATAAATGATACTCTATAGTGAACTCATTATTTCTTACTTGCAGTTGAAGTGGTGTGCTTGGGTTGCGCTATACTGCTCCTGCATCAGCTTTGCCAACTCGAGAGTCAATGACGATACGAAACAAATGCTCAGCAGCTTCATGTAAGGTTTATCTTGTTTTCTTCTGAAATTTGTATATTACTAAACCCATAAAGGTACAACCTGTCCTCATAGCATGTCACATTTTAACATATACTTTACTTTACACAAGGCCAAAACCTGGTGTACTAAGGCAAATAAACATTGCGACGGGGTAAATACCCTAACTGTGCAACCTGTCCTCTTACAAATTACGTCTGAATTTGGTCGTTTGCCCATATGGCCAAAAATGGACATAATTTAAAAATAAAAAAATTAAAATAAATTTTGGATTTTGTTTCAAAACAGTAAGTTAAGGGTCCTCTCGTAGGTTAGGAGGGCAGGAAATTGTCCTCAAGTTTCAAAAGCTATGAAAAACGTTAAATGAAAGTTTCCTCTCCTAACCTTTCCAAGTAAGCCAGAGGACTTAGAGAAAACGCGACAGTATGTCACTTTCGTGAGCCAATTTCATTTCAAATTACGTTCATTTTTGGATATAGCATGCATTCGAACGAAAAGCGACGTTATTTTCAAGAGGACAGGTTGAACCATGATGTGCCTGACCACCATCATATGGTGGGTCAGGTCACCTAAAGTCCCAGCTAGCCTGCCATCCCCGCTCGTTGAGCCAAATGGAACCCCCAAATATTCTATAAGGAAGAGAACAGGACTGGGAGGTGAGCGATTGACTACATGCCTGAAAAGGGCATTTCATTACCTGGATCTGGATTTGTACCTGGATAAGGGGGTTCTGGGATTTCTTTTCTCCAAGCCTGGCCTGGGCCAGGCATGACGTGCAAGATCTTGGTCCAGTAGACTGTTGCTTGGAGTGGCCTGCAGGGCCATATTCCCACTTACAATCTAGTTAGTCCAGCACTTCTTGCAGGAAACTCTAATTTTTTCTTGAAGAAATACTTTTGTTCCAGCCATACTTATTTTATTTGCTGTGAGGATATTAAGGAGCCGTGGTCCTTTGATATTCATACAGTGTTCTATGATTGTTCCTGTGGCACCTTTATTCTTCACTTGCGCTATTCTGCATTTCCTACCATATTGTTCGCTCCACTACCTTACCTTACCTTGAGGTTACCTTGAGGTGCTTCCGGGGCTTAGCGTCCCCGCGGCCCGGTCGTCGACCAGGCCTCTTGGTTGCTGAACTAATCAACCAGGCTGTTGGACGCGGCTGCTCGCAGCCTGACGTATGAGTCACAGCCTGGTGATCAGGTATCCTTTGGAGGTGCTTATCCAGTTCTCTCTTGAACACTGTGAGGGGTCGGCCAGTTATGCCCCTTATGTGTAGCGGAAGCGTGTTGAACAGTCTCGGGCCTCTGATGTTGATAGAGTTCTCTCTCGGAGTACTTGTTGCACCTCCGCTTTTCAACGGGGGTATTCTGCACATCCTTCCATGTCTTCTGGTCTCATGTGATGTTATTTCTGTGTGCAGGTTTGGGACCAGCCCCTCTAATATTTTCCACGTGTAAATTATTATGTATCTTTCCCGCCTGCGCTCAAGGGAGTACAGATTTAGGCTCTTTAGTCGGTCCCAATAGTTTAGATGTTTTACTGAGTGGATTCTAGCAGTAAAGGATCTCTGCACACTCTCCAGGTCAGCAATTTCTCCAGCTTTGAAAGGGGCTGTCATTGTGCAGCAGTACTCCACTCTAGAGAGCACAAGCGTTTTGAAAAGTATCATCATCGGTATAGCATCTGTTATAATATTGTGCAAATTTTGGACCTGGATATTCATACAGTGTTCTATGACTGTTTCTGTGGCACATTTTTTCTTCACTTGCGCTATTCTGCATTTCCTACCATATTGTTCGCTCCACTATGTTATAATACTGTGCAAATTTTGGACCTGGAGTTCAGTCCATGTATACAGTACATGATACCTCTCTTGTCTCCTTTCCAGAGTACATTTTGGGAGCTTCAAATGGTCCCAATAATTTATGTACTTTATTGTGTTTGTGTGCTGAGTATGTCCTCTGTATTCCCTGTGTTTCAACAATCTCTCTTGCTCTGATTTGTTATTTTTGGGAGAGCCCTGTCAGTAGTTTTCTGAGCTTACTTGTCAGTCACTATAGCATTGACTTCATGATTTTCCTAAGGGTGACAACACTTGCATAATTGTCTTTTGTTATTGAATGTAATTTAAATTACATTAATCCAACCCATTGTTACTGGCTAATAGTTCTGATTTTCAAAGTAAATTATCATAATTAAACAAATATACTTTTATTTGCTTGTCACAAATAATTTACTAATTATATTAACATTTCAGGTTGTCCATTTCTGCAGTTGTGATGTCCTACCTTCAAAACCCACAGCCAATGACACCTCCATGGTCCAATATATAAACAGTTCTATATTATCGATTGTTTTTGGTTGAATGGAAATGTATAATTGCCTCACCATACTTGTATTAAAATTGTACTGCTGAATGACAGTGACAATTTTAGTTTTAATAAACTAGCTAATGGTGCCAGGTTTGTATTATGTGCAATATGGAACAGTGCCAACATTTGATGATGTGCATGAGTTACAAAATGGCTTGGTTTGTTAATCTTTTAATTTGTGTGGCCTGCACTATATAATTCTTGTGTTATACTTCCCATCCAAAAGTTTCTTGTAAGCAGCTTGTCTTTTTTTTTCTTTAACAAATGGACAAATTTGTATTGTCCCATAACATTATCATGTCATTCATGCCAGTGTAAAAGGCAATAGCATGAAGGTCAAAGCTTGAAATATCCTGGAATATGAAGTACCATACGAGTTGATCCTAGAGTGACAACCACATTAGTACAGTAGATAGCCTCCATATTAGACATAAAAGGAAGACTTGATCACCACGTTAGAAATAGAAGAGTGAAAGGGAATTGGGAGTGGAATGGTAGGCAGTCAGTATGGGGGAAGGGAGACTTTTGGAGTACAGTACAGTACTGTCCATTCAGTAGAGCCAGGCTGTCACCTGATCGGATGACAGGCAAAGTTATCAGTCACTAGCACTGATTTTATAGTTTTCTTCGAGGTGACATCAACTGCATAATATCTTTTTGATCATGAAATTACATTAACTCCAACCAGTTACTGCTGGCTAATAATTCTTAGACATAAAGGAAAGAGGACAAATCAGAAGAGCATGTTAAGATAGGGCTACCTGAATAGGTTTCAGTTGTGGTTACTCCATCAGAGGGGCATTCATGGGGATAAAGACAGATTCTACAGTAAATTGTTAATTCCTCTTTTAGGACTGCCTCCTCTTCCATTTTGCTTAGTTATGCAAAGTTGTTGTTTTATGGTTACAAAGGAAACATATCATTCCTTACTTACTTATTTTGACTGTATCAGAATTTAGAATTTCTAAAATATAGTTACAGGTTGTAAGTACAGTATGTATAACAGTTTATACAGTACTATACTTAGTGTATAAAATATTAATGCAGGCCATATGTATTATTGTTAAATATGTACTTTTGTATTTCATAGTAAACCTTTTACCATAATATATAATTATCTTCTCCTTTCAATAGTGCATTTGTCATGTTGAATTATATGGTATATCAGGATTTTATCGGTACTACCTTGTTGACTGCGTGTTCCTCCCGTTACTATACTGTATACAGTATCTCTCCTTCCCATTACAGTATTACGCTGAGATGTATCAGTAAGGTGGTTGGGCTCACTGGCTCAAGCAAAGAATATTCACTATACAATACTATATTGAATATAAATTCAGTGGATTTTGTACTACATGGGAACCTGGTCCAAGATAGGGATTTTAATCTAGCCAGTGACCTGTACAATGAATTTGGCATCTAGATAATGCAGAATTCCTCCAAGACTGATAATTTTAAATTAATATTACTAAAAAATTCAAACAGTGCTTTTTCCATGGGATTTCTGCATCAAATTATGCACAAATGTATGTCAAATAAAGCATAACAAATTATGCACAAATAAAGGGTGAATGCTGTGGATCTTGTTGTCCATTAAAATCTGTACAATAAAGCTTTCAGTCACATGCCATCCCTAAGGTGTGGCGTTGTTTACAATTTCCCATTTAGAATCCTTTCATTAGAAAGTATTTACACCACAGTATTGTATGTCGAACATAAAAAATATTAAATGTATAAAGATATTGTACACAATGTGATAAATCAATGATATAATCTTTAGAGCAGGACAGCACGATCGAACCAATGTTGTGGATAACCACAGATGTGCACCTTAACCCATGGACTAGGATGTGCAAAAAGTTACACGACCTGGGGCCGGATTCAGGAAGGTACTTACGAAGGTTTTTCCTCTTAGCTAAGAGCGTTTTCCGTCTTAGCGCCTTCGTGGCGGCTACGTCCGTATTCAATTAACTACCCTAAGTGGAAAAACCTTCGTAAGTTCATTCCTGGATTTAAGTGTGGTTTCGACCACTCGTAGCTTTACGTAAACTGGATATAAGTAATTTTTTCTCTACTACATAACACTGGGATCGATTTATGATATTGGAACATGACCAAAATATTATAGCTGGTGAATCTAGTGAAGAGGAATCCTTCGTGTTAGTTATATATGCATTCTCTGCTTGAAACTTGAAGTAAATATGTGTTTGATGATAGTAGAATTAGTTTTATAATAGCAAGATATTATACCAGTAGTTATTAAGTAAATAAACACTGGTGAACATGAAATATGAGAGAAGGTGATGAGCCCTGCCTGATGGGATCATTTACTATCACCAAATGCGCCTGTTCACCTAGTAGTAAGGGTGTACCTTAGCTATACATACCCATTTCTAATTTATTTAGTTTGGTTTTATTTTGAAATTAAATCTGGGTGAGACATAAAATAAAAATATGCTGCACAAATGATGTTAGGTAAGGAAAAGGGTAAAAATGTCAAAAACTTTATTCATTGAATACTTAAAGCTATAATTATGACTATATAGATTATTAAAAAAGAGAGAGGGAAGTAGGGGTCCAAGACCTCTTCCTGTTATACAATTTGGGTGTGGAACAAGTAATTATCAAAAGAAGGCACCATGCCAGGAAGGCTATGTAGCAGTAAGGCAGTGAGGTGAGGCAGCTACTTATTTGAGAAATGCTTATTTTATTTACCTTATAAGCTGAGGCAACTTATTTTATTTGAGGAATACTCAGCTGATTCCTCTACATTTAGCATGGAACAAATTTGTGTCCAAGACCTCTTCCTGTTACTCAATTTGGCTGTGTGTAACCAAACTAGAAGTGCTCTACAAATCAAGGGACCCAGAATGTGGAATGACCTCCCGAATCATGTCAAAGGCTGTACCTCTCTCAACCAGTTTAAGAGTTAAACCAAGTACTGCCAAATTAACTCCATGTAACCTAACTTACCTCCTAAATGTCAACCCATGTCTTGCTATTTTTTAAACAACGCTGTTCACCAACATGTGCAATTGCTGATTTATGCTATGTTAACCCCCTTTTTGTATTTTTTATTCCTTCTTTCAACACAATTTATACCTAATCCCGATTACTATTAAGTTTTAGTCTGTGTTTTTTTTTCCCCCACACCTTGCCCGAAATGCTATGAGTATTAGTGGCTTTAGGTATTGTATGTACTAGCTCTGCCTATAAATCCATCATTATGTTTGTAAATCAACTGTATGTACTTTTCCTGAATAAAATGTATTTATTATTTATTTTTTAATCAGCAAGTATTAAAAGAAGGCACCAAGCTGGGAAGGCTATGTAGCACCATTGTGTGTAACAATAAACCAAATTTTTTTTAACAAATAATGCACCTGTATGGGAAAACAAATCCTGTCAGCTGTAAAAATATTGATGCAGTTATTTAAATGATAATGAAAGAAATATTACTGGTTTATTTTTATCCTATCTTTTTGTACTGTACAGTATATCCAAGGAAGTGAAAAATTGAGACATAATGCACAATTTAATGAATGATTAGCAGTTCAAAAGAAATATGACTTGTATTACATATCAACATGAGATCTTAATGATCCATGGTCAACATGATTTAATAAGGATAATACAGTACTGTATTTGTAATACAAACTATAATTTAAAATCTTTATTACTGATTTTTTTTTTATTAAGAAGATTAGGTATACACAGCAATGTGCTGCTACCCTAGTCTATATGGAATATTACACAGTGTAGGTAAAAAACTAGCTATAAATTTATCTAATACTCCCATCTCACAGGATGGTTAGACATACTGTACATGGAATCAATTTAGAAAATACCAGCCTCAATACAAAAAACAAATCAACTCTGACTAAACAACTCTAAGCAAGTTTTCACAAGAGGTAAGCACTGAATCATGGAAACATTATATTATAATTACTCTTACCAGTTTCTACAAAACTCCTCTCAAACAATGTATTTTTAAACATGTTTAGGTATACACAGCAATGTGCTGCTTCCCTATTCTGTATAAAGGACCACACAGTGTAGATCAAAAACCAGCTACAAGCTCACCCAACATCCTCACCTCACAGGATGGCCAGTCATACATGGAATTAGGAGAGAACAAAATACTTAATGCTGATCTATTAGCCTCCACTGGCAAAATCTGGGTGCAGCACAAGAATATCTTCCAATATTCCTGAGTGTATGAAGTAATTACAGAGCTCAAAATACCTCATACCATTTGGTATGAAGTCACTGATAACAGGACAATCACAGATATAGTGTTGGAGAGTATGTTCTCTCAAGTAGGACTGAAAACAGATGTTTTTTTTCCACCAAGAGGACTATAAACCCATGGAACCGCCTACCCGCTGAAGCCGTAAATGCCAAATTCCAGCTAAAAAATATCATTAAGACAATTGGCGGGCCCTTTAACAAGCCGCCGGCTTTCTGTCCTCTTCGAGGTCACTAGATAGTTAGTGGCCCTTGGGTAAATTCAGTAAATATATACAATAATTGTCAGCGCATCTTCCGAGCAACAAGGACAGCTACACAGTATCTCTTAGAATTACGTAGGTAAACAACAAATGTAACATATTTGTTTACTACAATGTCGGTGCTGGCTGTAGAAGTTGAAAAAACATTGTTTTACTTCGAAATATACTAATTTTATAAGAAAATTCGACGTAAATAGGAGGCAGTAGAGCTCCGATAAGCCAGCGCTAAATCTTTAATATGAAGAAGACGACCGATTCTTTTCTTTTCTTTCGGAAAGCGAGTGCGGTGGCCCGTAGGGCCATCCGTACGGCTAAACGTGAATGTTGGGCATCTTATGTCTCGACAATTACGTCCGAAACCCCTCTGGCCCAGATCTGGAAGCGTATCCGCAAGATAGCGGGTAAGTTCGTTCCCGATGTTTCACCGGTCCTTCACCTCCATGATACTCTTGTGGCGGACCCGTTGCAGGTCGCTTCCGAACTGGGTTCCCACTTTTCTTCTGTTAGCTCTGGTCTTCATCTTCCCCAATCTTTCCTTCTTCGTAAACCTGTCCTTGAGTCTCGTCCTTTAGATTTCTGCACTCATCTTCAGCTTCCCTATAATGATCCCTTCTCTCTCTCTGAACTTCGTTCTGCCCTGGCCCTCTGCGGTTCTACGGCGGCGGGCTCCGATGGTATTCATTATGAGATGCTTCGCCATCTCCCTCCGAGCACGTCTCAGTATTTACTGAGTCTGTATAATCGGATCTGGGAGTCGTCGTCAGTCCCTGAGGACTGGCTCGATGCCGTTGTCCTCCCTGTTCGCAAACCGGGGTCTCTGGGTACTTCCCCTATGGACTTTCGCCCTATTGCTCTCACAAGTTGTGTCTGCAAACTCTTTGAACGTATGGTTAACGTTCGTCTGATGTGGTTCCTGGAACACCATCACCTCCTCTCCTTCTCAATTTGGTTTCCGCAAGTGCCGCAGCACGACAGATGTCCTGGTGAACTTGGAGGTCTCTATTCGTACTGCTTTTGCTGCGAAGACCTCCGTTGTTGCCGTCCTTTTTGACCTAGAAAAGGCTTACGACACCACTTGGCGTTATCATATCCTATCTCAACTTCATTCTTTTGGCCTTCGTGGTCATCTCCCTCTCTTTCTCCGCAGCTTCCTCTCTCGTCGTTCCTTTCGGGTGCGCCTTGGTACCGCTCTGTCTCCCTCTTTTCAGCAATACGAAGGTGTGCCCCAGGGTAGTGTTCTGAGCACTACTCTTTTTCTGGTTGCCCTCAACGGTCTTCTTTCCTCTCTTCCTTCTGGTGTCTTCTCCGCTCTCTATGTCGATGATCTTACCCTTTGTTGTCAGGGTGATGATTCGCCTCTCCTTCAACGCCGGCTTCAACTTGCAATTGATGCCGTGTCGTCTTGGGCCACAGGTCATGGCTTCAAGTTCTCTACTTCTAAGACTTGTGCCATGACTTTTACGCGGAAACGGGTTGTTCTTCGTCCCTCTTTGTCACTTTATGGTCATCCCCTTGAATACAAAGATTCAGCGAAGCTTTTGGGGTTATTCCTTGACACTCGTTTGTCTTGGTCTCCCCATATCTCTTACCTCCGTGTTGAGTGCTCTAAGGCCCTTACCCTCCTTCGGGTCTTGTCCCATACTTCTTGGGGGGCAGATAGGCGCACTCTCCTTGCTTTATATTCCTCTCTCGTCCTGTCTAAGCTCGATTATGGTTGCCCTGCTTACTCGTCTGCTTCTCCTTCTACTCTTCGCCGTCTTGATGCTTTGCACCATACTGGGTTGCGCCTCAGTTCTGGTGCCTTTCGTTCGACTCCCGTCCTTAGCTTGTATGTTGACACTGGCTTCCTGTCTCTCCAGGACCGCCGTGATCGCTACTGTCTTCGCTATCTTGCGCGGTCCTTGCAACATCCTTCCTCTCGCCTCTGTCGTGCTTTAACTTTTACCCCTCCTGCGGTTCCTGTTCCTCTTCACCACCTCCCTCTTTCTGTCCGGTTATCTCGCCTACAGGATTCTCTTTCCGTTCGTATTTCTGATGTTTCTCCTCGTGTTGTTCCTTCTTTGCCCCCGTGGAGGGTCCCTCTTCCGCGGTTTTGTACATCCTTGACTCGTATCACTAAAGCTTTTACCCCTCCTACGGTTCTAAAACGCCTTTTCCTCGAGCACTTTTCTTCTCACTCCCGCTCAGTTTCTGTCTTCACCGATGGGTCTAAGTCAGCGGACGGTGTTGGCTACTCTGTTGTTTTTCCTGATCGCACTTATATGTGTCGCTTGCCTCCGGAGACTAGCATCTTTACAGCGGAACTTTATGCTATTCTCTATGCTCTTCGTCTCCTGCTTTCTCGTTGTCAGTCTTCCTTTGTGGTTGTTGTTGACTCTCGTAGTGCCCTCATGGCTCTCGGGTGCTTTAATCCAGTTCATCCAGTAGTTGTCGAGATCCAGCATTGGCTGTTTCTCGTTCACAGTAAATTTAAGTCGGTTGAGTTTTGTTGGGTTCCCAGCCAAATTGGCGTGTCTTTAAATGAGCGTGCGGATGCTGCCGCTAAGGAAGCTGTCCGCTCTTGTCCCATCTCTCGTAAAGGCATTCCGTATTCCGACTTTTACCCGGTTATCCATTCCTCAGTCCTTACCCGTTGGCAGGCTTCTTGGTTGTCTGTTACTGGTAACAAGCTACGTACTCTTAAATGTTGTGTTTCCTCGTGGCCGTCCTCCTTCCACCGTAACCGGCGGTGGGAAACAGCTCTGGCGAGGTTGCGTATTGGCCATACTCGCTTAACCCATGGTCACTTGATGGAGCGCCGCCCTGCTCCTTATTGTCCTAGTTGCATTGTCCCTCTTACGGTCGTGCATGTCCTTCTTGAATGTCCTGACTTCCAGGACGAGCGTGTGTCTTGCTTTCCGACCGCCCCTCGCGGTCACCTGTCCCTTGATAGAATTCTTGGTGACTCGGATACTTTTGATATCGTTCGCCTTATGCGTTTTTGTTCTCGTATTGGCATCCTTGGTGATATTTAGCGCCCTCTGTTGGTGCCTTCTTTTGATAATTACTTACTTACTTTAATATGAAGAATGTTGCTGCTCTCTGATTGGCCAAACGAAACACAGTAGTGACCTCTATCGGCACGCAGGTGAACCAACAATTTTCTTTCTAAGTATACCTTATTGAATCGCACCTAAGCATCTTCTTTGGGCGCACTTAGGAACCTTCGTAGCAAACCCACTTACGAAGAAATACACAGAGCTTCCTGAATCTAGGTCCAGCTTTATAGTACAGTATATAATAAAGCTATAGTATATAGTATTTTTTGGCGCCACATGACATCCTTATAGATAATTTATAGTATGCTTATTATAATTTACTGAGACCTGTTAAAGACTTCTCGAAAGCAAATGACGGGCCTTCAATAGGAGGCATCCTATTGGAATACAATGCTAAATGGTACACAAATTTCACACAAAGTAGGACTGAAAAAATATAATTATCTTTAGAATTTGAGTAAACAGATGATTCTGCTCTCAACGGCGATGAACAGCACTGTAGACTATACTAAAATCTCAATAATTAAGTCTTAAAACCATCAAATATACTGAAATAATAAGTGATTGCTGATAGCCATTAGCTATAAATCTACCAAAGGCAAACTTGAATATCTGTTGTGTAGATACTTTAAGGGATGTGTAGAGATGTACTTTAAGAACTGAGGACCAGTTGCTCTCATCTCTCCAGAGAGTACATTTTGAGAGCTTTACTCACCTAGTTGTGCTTGCAGGGCTTGAGCTTCAGCTCTTGTTTTTTTTTTTTGGTCCCGGTTAACAATGTGGAATAACTTTCCCAATCATGTCAAAGACTATACCTCAACCAATTTAAGAGAAAAACGAAGTACTATTCGTTTTATATTTTTGCCCCTATTCGAATTAATAGGGGGCAAAATATTGGATTTGTTTTCAACTGTGCTTGTTGCAGCTCTGTTGCAGAATACAGTGGTAGTTGTAACTCGGATGTGCATATGGTTTACTATGCCAGTTCCAGTACCATGCATTCCCTTTGTTCCATATTTTGAAACCTCTTTCTTCTGGCTCTAAAAAAAATTTGTGGCTTTTCTCCAAAGCCATTCTCCTGTTTGCTACTCTTTCTGTGGCATTCTGAGTCTTTCACATTAAATTCTGGCCAATATAAGTCATATACAGTGATTTTATTTCTACAAGTACAGTACTGTTTTGTACGTCTGGATGGAAATACTGTACCTGCATATTGATCCAAAATGCCATTTTCTTTTCCTAAGTAGATTTAGGCATATTCTGGGATGAAGGTAACTGCATTCTTATCCCTTTCTCTTTTCAGAATATCTGTCTACAAATGCTCTCTGCATAACATTTGCAAATGTTGGTCTTCCCAGTCTGTCTCTATCAAGGTCTGTTGCAATTTACTGGTCAAGCTGTCTGTGCTGTCTGTTACACTTTCCTGCCTGATGCCATCTTTATTTGGATGTACTGATTCAGGGTTCACACTTTCCTTAACTTGTATTTCTTATATAGTTTCAGTTTCATCCCTGACAACAGCTTCAGCTCCTGTGCTAGTATTATTTTTTCCTACTGTCTGGATAGCTGGTAGGTTTACCATGAAAATCTTTTATGGTCATGAGGCATGGTATTTAGAGTTCTTTAATATGTTCCAAGCTGGCTGGCAAATCATTGTTACATAACAAATAATCTTCTCATAGAGAAAAATATAGCTCTCATAGTGAGCTTATTATTATTTATTCTAGCACATGGAAAAAGGGAGGAAATGCATGTGAAGCAAACAAATTTTAAAAGAAAAAACAAATTTATGAGCAAATGACCAACTCTGGAAAAGGTTGAAGAATGGCCAGCAATTAAGTGAGAGGAAGTGGGACCTGCTGCAACTTGGCAACCTGAGGAGCACTACTGAGTGAGCTCAGGGGCTGGACCTGGTTGATGACCAGACTGCGGAGATGCTAAGCCCCGAAACCAGCAAAAGGTAACCTAAGACTGGCCATGGAACTGGCGGAACTGGCTGGGGACTCCGAGCAGCCTAGCGGGCAGCAATTGGTACTAACAGGTGTGAGCTAGTTTCAAGTAAACCACTTGTTTTGACAAAATTTGCAGAGTTCCTTGACTGTTTTGATACTTCATTTTCCATGCAGTTGTCTGCAAAGGCTTCCCTGAATCTCCTAATGTTTTTCTGGTGAGGGTGATGCTCATTGTTCCCCTTTCCTTGCACCTCTGTGAGGGGGAGGCCAAGTTCTGGCTCTGTTCTCTGGTAGGCCAAACAGGACTCTTGTGAATGATGTGACAGTCATGTGAGCCATCTCAGCAAGGTAGCTTCAGTGAGCCACCAAGGGGCTCCACCCAGAAAAGATCAAGAAAAAATGAACCCCTTAAACAGCCTTTATAACTACAAGATGTAAACAACAAGGAATATCGAGTTGATATATAAACACACTATTAATTAAAATAAATTTAATAGCTCACAAATCTTACAAATGGGCACAAAATATTAGATCATAAACCCCCAAAAAAAATAATTTAGGAAAATATTTCAACTATGGCAAAGAGTATGTATGTAAACTTTAATATCTCTTGATATACTGTATATAACACATGTTAAAAAAAATTATTAAAATGAGGACTACCAAAACACTTGTATTTAGTTATGGTTAACTCTATAAGTATTTAGTTTCTTTGAATTAGATGCCAAGAAAATGGCAGCAATTCATAACTAGTACTGTACTGGTAAAGAGGAGGTCCTCTATGTACCATGACTAGACATACCCTGCAGGTTTATATATGGGACAATGATAAAGTACAGAAAAACCTCGGTACTCGAACGGCTCCTAACTCTAACATTTTGAAACTTGAATGCTATGTTCGTGCTCAGTAGTCGGCCTTTGCTTGGCACTCGAGTGAAAATACTTGTAAAGGACGAGTTAGTTTCCCAGTAGCTGTCATTCAGTGCACAATCCCACTAAACTTTTCTGTAAACTTTTTCATGTTTCCTTTGATATTTTGTTATATTCTTAGCACAAATAAGTCAACACTGCACCTATGAAAGTTAGTGATAAAAGCCAAATGAAAAGAAAATTAGTTAGAACGATAGAGATGAAATAAGAACTCTGCAAAATATGAAGGTGTTGCCCAAGTGTCTGTTTTTGCTACCGAGTTTGGTATGCTAGATACCAAATACAGGTACTGTATACCAAAAATAGAAATGCTGCAAGCAGGTTTGCAGTCATCAGGAGTTCCAGGCAAGTGATGGTTGAATTACAAGGTTTAAAGTGAGGCACAATATTATGAAGAGGAAAATTTTCAGTGGAAAAACTGAGTGCAGATACAATAATTCTTTCTCAGTTACTCTCCAATGAATGTTTTAGAAAAGTTCACAGACTTTGAAGACATCTTCTGGGATGACCAAACCTAAGTTTATTTGACCTGGCTCTTTTAAAGTAATGATCTGAACAATGGTTTCTTTGCTTAGTTCCTTGTTGGGTGTCATAATGACAATGTAATGCCACAAGCACCACTAATAAGTGCGTAGACAAGCCACGGTCAAAGAGCAATGTGCTGCACATCACTGATCACCCCGACAGCCTGGGGCTGACTGGCACCTGGCCTGTGGGTTGCTACAGACAGCTAACGGATGCTGTGACATTGTATAGCCGTCGCATATTTCTATCTAAAATCTTTCACACACAAGACCATCATTCTCTCTTCACCATAAGTATGTGGTGCCCTTTGCAGTGCGCTGCATACTTTTGAGTAATACTGTAGGTCCAATACTGGAGGTGGTTTCTGATTTTGATTTTGCATATGAGAAGAAATATTTTGGATTTATCATTATCTCTTGTATGACTTCGTTCTAATTGTATTTCTTCAATATGATATGACTACCTTAGTCTCTGTTCTATTTCTTCAATTTCCCTGTTTAAATTATTCTTTCTTTGTAGGCATAGTTGTCTGCTAAAGCATTTCTATTATTTTAGTCTTCTACAGTACCAACTGTTTTCTTTCTAAGCTGGTCCTCTTCCTGGCAGGAACATGTTTCAGACAGATTGTAAGTGCCTCGGCAGTCAGTTGTTCTATTCCTTGCTTGGGATTTTTATTACTTAGAACAGTTTCCCATTGAATGTTTTTAAATTCCATATATATATTTATTTATTCACAGTTAATCCTTTTATTAAAATTGAATTTTTTGAATAACCCCTTTCACTTGATAATTTTTTGTTAGACCTATTATGAGTACTGGTATTGATGTTAGTTTGCACTTTAATGAACTTGTGATCGGAGTATGTGGTATCTGAGATTGTAATGTTCCCGATTATTTCTTCATTGTTTGTGAAGATCAGATCGAGAATATTTTTGGCCCTAGTTGCCTTTGTTATCTGCAGGCTGAGTGAAAATTTGTCACAGAATCTAAGTACAGGTACTTCTCTGACCTGTGGTTGGTTGTTTCCAGATTAACTTCCAGGTATAATATTATTTTTTACTATTCTTCATCTTAGACTGGGCAGGTTGAAGTCTTCTGCCTACTGCCAATACTAGATAATATCTAGGACTGGGTTTGCCAGCTTATTAAAGCTATTCTCTATTTTGCTTATATGTTCTGTGAATTTTGTTTGCAGTCATTTGCTACTTCACTTCTTGTTTTTTAAGACCCATGCAATTGTCTATACACACAGAAATCACAATTGTGTGATATATCAAATGAATAAATTTACAAGGACCATGATGAGGGTTCGAACTTACTTCCAGGATGATCCCAGACACGCCTTAATCGACTGAGCCACGACATGGAAAAGAATTGCAACCGGGATTGCTGCTGCTCTCACACTTGGAGCCCGAATAAATGAGGAATTGTGTAAAACCCTAGTTTGTGTCTCGGAGAGACTGCGGGATCCGTGTGAGAGTAGTAGCAATCCTGGTTGCAATTCTTTTCCGTGTCGTGGTTCAGTCAATTAAGGCGCATCTGGGATCATCCTGGACATCATGTTCCTTGTGGATTTATTCATGCAATTGTCTGTTTTGCTTATCTTACTTTCTGAATGTTTCCTTGGTGAAGGTGGTAATAACAATCCCCTGCTCCCTGTGCCTTTCTGAGTGGACCAGGTTCTGGCTTTGGTCTCCAGAAGGCTATTAAAAATGACTAAGGTTGATGTGACTCATGTGTATGGAGCTACAGTATCTTAGTGCTAACTACAATAAGCCACTGTTTGGCCTCTTCAGAAATAATAATTGATACCTTAGGCTAAAAACCAACACTTTTGTATTTGTGAAATATATGTAAGGAATTTACACCAAGTCTTTCGCACTCTACTGAGTGCTTTATCAAGGTCTGAGTGTGTGATTAGGATGAGACTTAAATCTCAACGTCCAACGTTGATTAGACGTTGAAATTCTTGACATAAATTTCACAAATACACAAGTATGGGTTTTATCCTATGTTATTATGTCTAGAAGACCTTAACGTTACTAAATTGATACCTTGTTAAAAATTATCAGACATTTTATATTATGAAAGATATGCTAAAAGAATATTAAAAAAACACAATCACTATAACTTTATCAACATAACATGTGCATAAATCAGCGTAAAATTAGAGTATTATGAACTGGCCTGGTACACATTTGAAATTTGTATTTGTCTTGATACTTATTAACTTTCAGTAAGTATCTTTTAAAAATAAAATAAAAAAATACAAATAAATATTAGGATGAGCATAAAAGGTTTTTTTTATGAGCAACAACGCAAGAAATGACGAGAGGAATACGCAAACCACGATGTGAAGTCCACGTGTCATCTGTGTTGCTTCTTCCTTTTAGCAATTTCAGGAAATATTTCATCGTCACTACTGCTTAAATAACATATGTCTCTCTTTCTGAAAAATCGCAGTACCTTTTCGTGGGAACAACTTCTATCCTTGTCACTATTACCACATTGGCACTTTCGACTTCGAATTGCACGTTTAGATGATTTATTTTGTGGTGTCACCAGTTTAGGTACTTCAAAAGGGTCTGCTAATCGAATGACTTTTGGCATCTGGTGTTTATTCCTACGTCGTCTCTGTTGTGACTGAATACGAGTAAGGGGTTTTATTCTGTGATCAGTAGAGAACCATGGGTAGCGCATAATGCAATCTTTTTTAAGTCCGGGTGGAAGCTGTGACCTGAATGGGAGAGAAATATGCAATTACAATACTGTACCTTATAAAAATCCTACACTTCCCTGATTTACACGTAAATTAACTTGATTCAGTAAGAACAAATTATAATCTGGTACATATGTGCAGATTCCTTGAAATGGATATTCACAAAGTACTGAACAGTATATTCTACACAGTATGATTCCATAAAATTCAGCATTGAATGTAATGAAATGCCCTCTCTGGTAGGGACCTCAGTGGTTTTAGGAAATACATGAGGCTTCTGAGACACTTTTAGCACCAGATTCTGGTTCCATCAACAAGGTGAAGGGAGCTGGGGATTAAAGATCTACTTCAAAACCAAGAAAAATCCCACCAGAAATTAAAAGTGTAAGAAGAGAAAGGAAGGGTGGTGAGAAGACAACTACCCCAAATCCTAATGAGAGAGGCTCTGCCAAGGTTGAGTGATGCAAAGTAACAATATTGGGCATCAAATGGCACTCTAGAAAGAGCTAGGAAAGAAAAGGCAACACCACAGGCACTGACACATGAAGACGGTCACTGAAGAGATGAAAAAATTTGAAAGGTAGACACCTGATATCATTGCAGCAGAAAGAGAAATGGAAAATCTAAAACCAGTACTGAATGTAATGAAAAGCTTCTTTCTGGGTGGGGCCTTGGTGGATCCCTGTAGCTAGCTGCAATGAAATAGCTCCAAACTTGTACGTCACATCAGCCCTTGTAAATCCTTAATAGCCTGCTGGAGACCAGAGGCCAAACCTTGCTTCACCTCAACAGAGGCACATGAATCAGGGGATTCATGATTACCCCTCACAAAAGAAACAAACCTCCATAAAGGCAGCAAAGCAAAACAGATAATTGCAAGTTCACAGAGAACAAACAAAAATGGCAGCAAATGACATGGCTAACAATTTATCCATTGCTCAATCATACAAATCACCCTAATAACAGTTGACCACCACCAGGTGGCAGCAGCACAGGAGCTGCAGGCTTCTCAAGTCAACAATCATCAGTCCAGAGTCTAAGAAAAACCAACTGATGGACCGGACCTGGTAGGAATGGAGATTCGAAGAAGCCACCAAGAAACAACCTTGACGGAAAGAGGTGTTACTTTACATTTAATGCTGGTTTTCTAGAGGAGTCAAATAGTGGCTCACTGTAGCTAACTAACAACAGATAAAAGAAAAATGAGACTCGCCAAGGAAAGAGAGCAAAAATCAAACCCCCAAAGGGAAGAGACCAAGATGGGAAACCCTACACAGAGTAACACAAGCTCAACCTAGACCAGGCACACTGACCAGGTAACGAGCTGCCAGGATCCTGTTAGATCTCCAAAACTCCCGAGCCCAGATAATAGTCAAGATATATTAGAAAATAATGGTCTAGACTACACACTTCAGAAGATCATGGGCCCGAGGGTAGAAAACAGGCCGGCTAGATTTAATGACATTGCATATAATCAGAGACAAATGCACCTTGGAATAGGGTACCAAAGACCAGATCAACAAATGGCATTTATCCCAAGATGGCCCACATCATACATAGGTAGCAACAAATAGCTACAATTGGACACAACAAATTATGCACCCCAGCCAAACAAACCAAGAATCAATAACCAAAGAATTCTTCCAAACAAAGAAATCACCCACCAGGGCCAAAAGAACAAAATCCGCACTTTTTGGGAAGAGCATGATGCTTCACAATTGCACAACTGGAAGTGAGAGCCACTAAAGCTGTTAAAAAAGCATCACGGACTGAAGGGGCAATCGAGAACTGAGTAGGTGACAGAAAAACCGTTATTACTCTATGTACAGGTGTGTATATAGTGTAATAACAGTACAACTGTTATTACACAATTGTACAATTGTTTTGTTGAGCATATGATTTCTATTGGGTTTTTCTTGGTATTAGTTAGATCTCTGATCCTAAGCTTCCCTTAGCTCATTGAGGGAACCAGATTCTGGTCCTGACTCCTGGTTGGAAAGAATGGATCCGAGGCCTAGTGCATTTCCATAAGGCATCACTTGACCTGTACTAAGCTTTGAGGAGCTACTGAGGGCATTCCTCCAGAAAACTATCAATAAAACAAAAACAACATTACAGAATAATCATATTTACTTAATATGAAAACTGTATTAAAATTAAAACTGTAAATTAATAACTACATATTATAATTCGGAATATACTTACTTATCTATTGATACAGCACCATGCCACATGAAAGATGAACCTTCGGGCATCTTGATCATTTTACTTTTTAACTGTGGTGACCGGGCTTTGCACCGTGCAATTATATGTGACACCAGAGACATCAAGTGAAGTGAGGGCTGAGACACGTGAGCTGAAACTAGCCTCAGTTCGCAGCGCCGAGCCACACCCACAACAGGGTAAAGCTTAATATTATGTGGTAGATTATTATACTGCAAACCTGAAAAATACAACAGTGTTTAAGAGTACATAGATGGATTATTGCGTAACAAGTTTATTTCACGAAGATAAAAGAATGAGATAAGTTTTGATTGCTCAAGGATGATTGAAACAGGTATCCCAGGGCCAGAATATTTAAGGATCTGAATATAGTGGTGTATTTAGTAAAGAGATGCAATGATTTTTAAGTGTTGTAATGAGTACATAATATAATTAGTTCAGGTAGTGAAATGAGTAAAAGTTAGTGTAATAATGTAGAGGCCTAATATGAGTAACTGAGAATGTCAAATTTGTTTGCAGATGATACAGTTCTTTTAGCAGAAAGAACTGTTCTTAAGTAAAGAACATTTACTTATACCAGAAAGTAAATGAAAGATATGAAGATTAGTTTAAAATTGTATTGAGGGTTATAAAAAGAAACTGCTAAAGAATAAATGTGGACAAAAGTACTTAAAGTGGTGGAGAGAGAAGGAAATTCTATGCGAAGTAAACCCAGCATTGAATGCAATGAAAAGCCTGTTTCTGATAGAGTAGTGGTGGCTCCCTGAAGCCATCTTGGAGATTACTCCATGCTATAAGGCCACACGAGTCATAGAAGTTGTTTGGCCTCCTGGGGACCAGAACCAGACCCTGACTCTCTCTCACAGAGGTGCAGGGAATGAGTGACAATTAATCACCCCACTGGGAAAGCATGCAGAAAGTCAACAAAGCTACAGACAACTGGAGGGCTCACAGGAAACAAAGCCTTGAAAACCACCTAACAACTCCACAAATGATTCACACAGAACAAGGGATTCACTCAAACTACAGTAGCTCAAAACTTGTTTGTACCAGTTGCCACCACTATACAGTCAAGGTTCCTCCCAGCAGCCACCTTCCCTAGAACTGATGAGCAATTTACTGACAAACCTGGAAGTGAGGGAGGGAATCGAGGCTCTACCAGAAAGAGGCATTTCATTATGTTCAACGAATGGTTTCTGGGGAAGCCCCCCAGTGACTCCCTGATCCTAACTAACCACAGAGAAAAAGAATGGGACTTAATAGGCAGGAGAAGAGGTAGCAGGCACTAGGAAAAAAAGAGAAACCAGGCCGAGAGACATGGCCTAAAGCAATATAAGAACTGGGACTAGGAACAGTAACTAAATACCAGGCAGCATGAACTCTGTTAGAATGTGAAAACCCTCGAGCCCAAATATCAGCCCAGGACATGTTGGAGAAGACCACAGCCAAAACTGCATTTTTGCAAACACCATGGACTCAAGTGTATATAAAATCACCTGTACAGTATATACAGTATATAATTAGCATTATGCAAATCTTACATACCAATAATTTTGTTATTGAGAGCAAACATAAGAGTAGCCTGGATGAGATCAAGGTAGACTGTTACAAAATCTCCAGGGAAGAACCGGTAATCTTCATGAACAATTGCAATATTGTTGTGGCACAGAGAACCTGGTAGAGATAAAATGTAAACATGTGAGATGGGTCAGAGCAAAAGCAAGTGCATCAAGTCAAGAAGTTATGGGAAATATTTACTACCATAACATTTAATTGTAAAATATTGAATTAAATCTTTGAGTCACTTTCTGTTTAAGATTAATTACATTACGTAGCAAATTAATACATAATTCATAAGAGCATAATTAATCAGAACGAAGCCATTCCATGTTCCTACCCGATGCTCCCTGACTGTTACGTCATGTACTACAGTAAACAATCGTGACATTAAAGTTGTTTCCTATCATGTCTTATAAATTATATAACTACTGTATAAGAAACTAATATTTAAAAGAACTAATTGAATTAACATTATTAATTCAAATTTACGAATAAATAAAGCGTTAAACTTTCAATGATTAAATAATATATGAGAGTTTTCTCTCTGACTCGGAGTTGGAAGGGGAAAGGAGGTTCTGTCGCCATTATTTGCTCGTCCATCTACACAGCTCGTCAACTGCATGACGATCGAGCAGTTGATCAGCAGTTATTAAGCAGCCTAGCGTTTTCATTCTGCTGCTGTTCTAATCACCACGACCACAAAATATGGCTGTGTCCACCTCACTTTTTAGTGACACTTAAACTTTTCATATTCACAGATAAAAGGAAATTCAAAGCATCTTTATTTTAATAATTACTGTATTATAGGAAAGGTAACAATAAGCATTAAGTTTTGTACAGCACTAAATTGCACACAAAGGTGTTCTGAGTGTGAAATGAATTAAACAAAAATGTTTAGCATATACAGTATTTCACTCTTACCTCCAGAAGAAAGAGCCCAAGAATGTTCGTCCTTTCCTATGCGGCACCTTTGGTTCCAGTTATCTGTAAAATCTGCACTTTCTGTTGCCACTCCCACCATCTGTGAAGAGAGATTCAAGAGTGAACAGCTATACAATGGATCTTTTATCTCCAATACAGAACTTTTCACTGACTAGCAAGGTGTCAGATGCATTCTCTCCCCTTAAGTATTATTTCTGTCCTTTCATATATACACTGCCCCATATTAACTTTGTAGGAGCCAGCAGAGATGATCCATTGTGGCGGTATCTCGGGGAAGCATTGAGTATACTAAGTTTATTGAGTATGAACTTGACAGATCCCTTGTGTGATTCATTAGCTGTCATGCAGACACCAGGAGTTACACACTATAGCAGTTTGATCAAAGAGTAAGCCCAGAAGTAAGGGAGGTTAAGTATCTTTTAAGTGGGAAGTGACATTATGCAGGAGGACCAGTGAGCGAGTTAGTCCCTAGTGCCCAGAGGGGTAGCCCAGGTTACAATGAGGTACATTCTGCAGAGAAACAGCAGTTGAGGGCCAGTGGTTGAAGCCCCAGATGGTATGGATATAGTTGCAATGATATAGGTGTTGGGAGATGAAATGTGCTTTTGCAATCAGTAACCTAACAAAAGAATAACACTTGAAAATAATTTCTTCTTATACAGTAAAAGTTAAAGAAAAACAATTAGATTACCGGAAACTAAAATAACTACAGGTATTTGCCTTACTTATAGTATGGCATGATGACAAAAATGCAAATTTATGCCCCACCCACATAAATCAAGCACGTAAACTAATTCACTCTGTAAAAACTTTCACCACTTTCATTCTATTTTGTTTTCATTCATTTATTCCCCCTCACAAAATCATAGGCTAAACAAAAATTGTATGCAAATACAATATAGTTTAGCTTACCACTTCAGCATTCCATATATTCTGTATGAAGATGGTCCAGCAGTGATACAAATTGTGTGCCAGTGGTTCATTTCCCTTCACAACTACCATAGAGTGCTGATCACTTCTGAAAGTAATTATGCATCAAAATTTTAATAATGCATTTTTTATCTATTATTTATTTATAGAAATACAGAGGATTAGTAACTAATGAATGCAGGATTTTATTCAAGGGTCAAGGTAAGCTCTATTACATCCACATACACCTATTATATCCTTATTTGCACCTTACGTGTAAAACCTGACAATAATGGTTTAAACTGTTATGACGATAACCACATTACCCCATGAATCAACATATGACAATGAGAGCTGCTTAATGGTTAAAATCCAGCTTGAAAAAACAGGACAAATGGGGGGACCTTTGACAAGCTACTGGCTTCCTGTCCTCATCAAGGCCACTAGAGTGTTAGTGGCTCTCAGGTAAATTCAGGCAAGTCCAGTACTGCATTATCACACTTAGGAGGGATGATCATGATTTCTTTTCTTTTTTCTAAAAGAGCGTCTAAGTACTAGAGGCCTGAGGAAGAAGGTGTGAGCCCTGTGTACATGTGGCAGTTTTAAATTGTATGCAGTACAGTACTTTAATACATCCCTGGATGTGACACACAGGTGGAAAATTAATGGTGGTAACATCCCTGGATGTGATGCACAGTTGAAGGGTTTAAGCTAGCCAGCCTGTGACTTATTCTCGAGCCAACTATGTTATCCAACCGTGCAATAAGGAAGCTTCAGGAAGCCACCAAGGGGGCTTCCTCCCAGAAAACCTGACTTGAATGTAATTTTATATTTTTTTATTTTATTTATATACAGTATACAAAAGTTTTTACATTCTTGTACAGCCACTAGCACGCATAGCATTTCGAGCAGGTCCTTACTCCTAATTTTCCCTGGAATACAACCCACCAAATCTTTTGACAACCAGGTATCCATTAACTGCTGGGTGAACAGAGGCGTACAGTTAAGGATTGGCGCCCAGTCAATCCTCCCCAGCTAGTATATGAGCCCAGGCCAAATTGTTCGTGAAGCACGGGGCAAGTATCTTACCACTGTGCCACGGGGACTGCATGAAACTCCTCTTTTCTGGTACAACCCTGACTCCCTCTCCCCACCTATCAGGTCTATTGGTTCATAGTCTATTACCTATGGATTGACCTAGAGTCACTTATAGGCAGCCAGTTGTACTAGAGGGTTTGAGCTAGTTTTGAGTGAACATTTGTTTTAAACAAATCCTTTACAGAGTTCTTTGCCTATTTGTTATTTGCCTTCATTTTCTGTGAACCTTGCAGTTATCTGTATTGCTTCACTTACTTTCTGGATGCTTTCCCAGTGTGGATGATTGTAATAAACCCCAGCTCTCTGTGCCTCTATGAGGAGGCCAAATTCCGGCTCTGGTCCCTAGGTGCCTAAACAGGACACCTATGACTGATATGACTCGGTAGTGGGAAACTATCTAATCAATATAGCTTCGGGGATCCATCAAGAAAAATAATATATAGCAATATAGCCTCTAGAAAAATAATTTAATTTGTAAAAAAGAAGTACTGATACACAAACAACACCAGAGTTGATGTTTTTAAATTGAATAATACTGTCAAATAGTTTTCTAAGTATGGACTCCATAACTACAAAATTTTTGTTACCTTTCTTTTTAATTTATGAAACTGCATCACTGCATGAACTTACCTTAAAGCAAATGCTAATATCTCCTGGAAGCTGTCTATACGTATAAAGTTGAGATAGTCATATGAAGGTGATGGGTCCCATTTCCAAGCCAGTATTTCTTCCATTTTCTATGATATTTGCTAAAATAAAAAAATATATTATTATATTTTTATATTGTACAGTATTTCCAAACAGTACTGTACTGTACTGTAATACAGTACATAGTACATACATACACCTTCAAAAATTTAGACTTTGATATAAAGGATCAATCTGAAATCCAGATTGTCAATTCATTACAATAAGTCCGCGAGTCAAAACAAACCACTGCTAGGTTTACGAGAGACTGAAGCCTTGCAACCCACCGATAACAGAGGAACTTGGGCCTGGGGCTGCACGAGACCCACGTCTCAAACAGGAGCAGGAGCAAACAAGCAGTCAATGAGAGGCACAAAAGACAGACCCCAGAAACACCTGCAACATAGTCAACACCTCACGCCACTCCAGCGTACAAGTACTGTACAACAAAGGCCACCTATTGGCCTTTGAAAAAACCAAACCTAACCAAACATAACCTCTAGGCAACAATACATCTTGGATAAGTCGCTCCACAACATTGTCACCTGGATCATCGACTTCCTATGGCATCACCTGCCACTTAGTTTCATCTAATTTCATTATAAAATTATATAGTTTATCTTAATTCAAAATCACAAAAATTTGGGTATTAATATATAGCGATTTATAGATACTGTATTTGCATAGTGGTTTATATCGTTAACTCAAAACTGAAGGACCTGGGTTCAGTCCCCTGCCAGGGCAAAGACAGTTGGGTGTGTTTCTTTTCACCTGATGCCTCTGTTCACCTAGCAGTAAATAGGTACCCAGGAGTTAAGCAATTGTCTTGGGGGTTGCATCCTGGGAAGGGTCAGTAGTTCCACCTGGGAAAGACCTTGATTTAAGCCTTCCTGTCCCCAACAGTGTATAATAAATCATCGAATCAGGGGGACATATAGCCTGTGTATATATATATGTTAGGATTATATCGAGGTCCTTACGTCGAATTACTGTGCAATTATATGCTGTAACTACACCTGGGTGACTACATGCTGTAACTACACCTGGGTGACTACATGCTGTAACTACACCTGGGTGACTACATGCTGTCTGGGTGACTACATGCTGTAACTACACTGGGTGACTACATGCTGTAACTCCTGGGTGACAATGCTGTAACTACACCTGGGTACTACATGCTGTAACTACACCTGGGTGACTACATGCTGTAACTACACCTGGGTGACTACATGCTGTAACTACACCTGGGTGACTACATGCTGTAACTACACCTGGGTGACTACATGCTGTAACTACACCTGGGTGACTACATGCTGTAACTACACCTGGGTGACTACATGCTGTAACTACACCTGGGTGACTACATGCTGTAACTACACCTGGGTGACTACATGCTGTAACTACACCTGGGTGACTACATGCTATAACTACACCTGGGTGACTACATGCTGTAACTACACCTGGGTGACTACATGCTGTAACTACACCTGGGTAACTACACCTGGGGTGGTTACAGTGAGGTGTGACAGCTCACCCGGGGAGGCTCGAGGCTCCAGCTGGCGTCGCCACAACAACAACAACACTCCAGGAAAAGTGTAAACAAATATTCGTTGGTAAATGCCATTAACGAGCATGAAACATAACATATTATACACGTGTGTGTGTTTATCTCTATTTGGGCAACATGTGTAGAGTTGTCGGTGTGTGTAAAGCGTAATAATAAGTGTAAGAGAATGTCCCAGCTGGCACCGTAGGGGTTTTGGGGTATAAGCCACTTTGTACACAAGACGATTCCACCAACACAATTTTGAGCCCTAACTAACCCAAATTCAGATGTTTATTCAGGTAAGGTATATACATACAAGTGATGTTACATTAATGGATTGATATATAGATAGAGCTAGTACATACAATGCCTAAAGCCACTATTACGCAATGCGTTTCGGGCAAGAAAAACATTAATATCAAGAACTTAATACTAATTGAGCATAAAGAATAAAAGATGTTGAGAACAAATACAAATAAAGATAAAAAAAAAGGGGGAACATGACTGAAAAAGCAGCACAAATACAATAGGTTGACAAACAGTGTTGATTAAAAAAAAAGAAAAAAAAAAAGAAAATAAAAAGAAAATAACAGACATGGGTTGACAATAGAGGAGTGAGGTAGATTACAGGGAATTTATTAGGTAGTGTTTAGTTTTTATCTTAAACTGGTTGAGAGAGGTACAGTCTTTAACATGGTTGGGAAGGTCATTCCACATTCTGGGCCCCTTGATTTGCAGAGCATTTCTAGTTTGATTAAGACGTACTCTAGGAATATCAAAACTGTATTTATTTCTGGTGTGGTGCTCATGGGTTCTGTTACAACCTTCTATGAAGCTTTTAAGATCAGGATTGGCATTATAGTTTAGCGTTTTATATATGTATAATACACATGAGAGAATGTGCAGTGACTTAATATCTAACATATTAAGAGATTTGAGTAGGGGTACCGAGTGATGTCTGGGGCCAGAGTTGGATATTGTTCTAATAGCGGCTTTGTGTTGGGTAATTAGAGGACGTAAGTGATTTTGGGTAGTAGAACCCCAAGCACAAATACCATAGTTGAGATAAGGATAGATAAGGGAGTAATAGAGAGTCACCAGAGCAGGGCGTGGTACATAATATCTGATCTTAGAAAGAATGCCCACAGTTTTTGAAACTTTTTTTGATATATTTAGAATGTGTCCCTGGAAATTCAGCTTGTGGTCAATGAGAATGCCAAGGAATTTGCCATCTAATTTGTTACAAATTTGGGTATTGTTTATTTTGAGATTTATAAGACTAGAGGATTTATTGCCAAACAGAATATAGAAGGTTTTGTCAATGTTAAGGGTGAGTTTGTTGGCAGTTAGCCAAAGATGGACTTTATTTAGCTCAGTATTTACTGTGGCATTTAGAGCAAGAGGGTCAGGACTGGAGTAAATGAAGGTTGTGTCGTCAGCAAATAGAATTGGTTTGAGGTGTTGGGAGGCATTTGGAAGGTCATTAATGTAGATGAGAAAGAGGAGAGGGCCAAGTATGCTGCCCTGAGGAACACCAATGTTGATGGGTAGGGTGGGAGAAATTGTATTATTCACAGAAACATATTGGAGCCTGTCAGTAAGGTAGGACTCGAGGTATTGTAGGGAGTGTCCTCTGACTCCATAATGATGTAATTTAAGAAGAAGGTTATGGTGGTTGACAGTATCAAAAGCTTTACGCAGGTCCACAAATAACCCAACAGGGAGCTCCTTTTTATCAAGAGCTGTATGAATCGAGTTAAGCATACTAATAAGTGCATCGTTAGTGCTTTTTTTGGGTCTGAAGCCATATTGGCAAGGGCTAAGTATATTGAGTTTGGCTAGATATGAGTAAAGCTGCTTGTATATAAGTTTTTCAAAAATTTTTGACAAGTTTGGCAGGATTGATATAGGTCTGTATTTGTTAACATCTGTGGGGTCACCACATTTGTGGACAGGCGTTACTCTCGCTTTTTTTAGAATATCTGGAAAGGTTTGGAGTTCAAGTGACTTGTTGAAGAGCAAAGCAATAGCAGGGGCTAAAGATCTGGAGGCTTTTTTGTAAATTAAAGTTGGTATCTCCTCAAGGGCACCAGACTTGGTTTTAAGGGAAAGGATTATCTCATTGACGTCAGTGGAGTTAATAGGCTTTAGGTACAGAGACTGTGGATAGTTACCTGTAAGATAGTCCTTAATGTCAGTACTGGAAGATGGAATATCATTTGCAATTCAATGATAATTCAATGGAAAGAAAATGTATATGTTTATCTCTCAAAATGTTTGGTAATATGTTTATTGTTTGTGATGTGTGTATATGTATGTATTAACACGATGTACTGAACGGGGTGAGAATAGCTTGAGCTACCTCATCCCTTGTATGTATTTTACCTCAATAAACTTATTTAAATTTTAATTTCAATTCAATAGATCCCCAATACAGCCTAACCTAAGCTAATACATCCTAGCATAACAATATGTACGGTTTTAGCAAACAGAAAACGAGCTTAAAAGAGTTCTTATACACTCACTAACTTGCACGCATAGTAATAATATTAATTTCATTATAAGAAGGTACAATGGGTTGCGAGATTACATAAGATTGGTACTGTATTTTTACATTCATGCAAAGCCACTAACAAGCATAGCGTCTCGGGCAGGTCCTTAATCTAACATATCAGGTAAGATGAAAGGGTACAGTGTAGCAAGGTTTTTATATCAACAAATATCTACAACATAAGTTGACAAGTGATTACACGTAAACATATATGTCTTAAGTACTAATATTGGGAAGTGGGTAGTACAAGATACAGGGTGAGTTTGAAACACAAGGAAGGAAACTATGAGGATGAAATTAGGTACTTTTTGGTTTTACTTTTGAACAGGATGAGATGCTAGCTGCAACCGCATTGTACCAGTGAACAGATTCACTGGTTTGTTCTAGAAATTCCAAGAAAATTGGAAACTGTGTTAATCTCTTTATTATATGAGTATTCAACGCTAAGTATTCCTAGTGGAATACTTTAGAAGTATTCCACTAGGAATTCTTCCTTCTTCCTAGAAGAAGTTAGCTTCGGCCGCCATCTTGAAAAAAAGTGCCAATTTTGATGACCAAACCACACTTGGAGATGAAGAGACTACGACGTTTCGACCCGTCTTGGACCGAAACATCAAGCATGGTTTCATGGCATCAAGTCGATTGTGATGGGAGCAAGAGCCACCCAAGGGATGGCACGGGCATGACTTGCCCATGTGGGAGAGAGGTTTTTTTGTTTTAGATTTAGCTACTCAGAACTAAAATGTTCATGTAGCACGGGCTATGGTGAACCCGTAAAGGAAGGCACGGGCATTAAGTAAGGCGAGGAGCAGGTAAGAGAAGAAGGTAGGAGTAGGAAGAAAGGTATCCAGGCGAAATCTTAGAATGGGAAGAAAGGTACGAGTGGAATGGGTGTAATAATGGGGTGAAAGACGAATGGTATAGGTAAGAATTAGAGGAGAAAGAAAGGGTAGACTTATGTCAGGTGAAAGGAGAGAGTCAACAGCAACAAAGCCAGGATTCGGGTTCATGTTGGATACAGTGTTGCCAGATTGGGCTACAAATAGCGAATCGGGCTACTTTTGAGAGCCCCGCGCTCCCAAATTTTTTATTTCGCTACTTGCTACTTTTTGGGCTAATTTAAAAGCAAAATGTGCTAATTTGGGCTATTAATGTTAAGAAACTCAATTATGATTATTTAGGATTAGATGCAACACAAACAATTAAGCACCCCGCGATAGCAGCCACAGACTGACGATCTAAATGCGAGCACAGCACGCAGAGTCCTTTCACGACCACAAAGATCACATTCACTCCAAAAAAATACCATACTACTTGTGAAGGAGGAAATGTATATGTTTATCTCTCAGAATGTTTGGTAATATGTTTATTGTTTGTGATGTGTGTCTATGTATATTGAATAATTCTTAAGTGTGTTACTACTGTCCACCATTGCCATTCTCTTTATCATTTCTTCACCCTCCTGAATCACCTTGAGTCTTGTTTTTATTTGTTTCAAGGTTAACTGACATACAACATCAACAAGAGTTTTTTCAGTGGCTCTCTTCGCTATGTCATCAACTACCTCATTCAACAGTATTCCCACATGTGAAGGGATCCACATGAATCTTACTTTATACCCAGTTTTTTCTAGTCTCTTAACATTCTCTCTACACTCTATCACAATATTCTGATATACTGGGCGTCTGCTATTTAAAGACTCTAACGCTCCTCTGCTGTCAATAAAGAAGCAAGCATTTTTTCCACATTTGACTACTTCCTGTAATCCTGCTAATACTCCTTGGAGTTCAGCCTGCGTTGAAGAGACATTGTCAGTTAAGCGGCGTCCAATAACAGTATCTACAGTGCCGATGTCAGTGTACTCCCTGATCAAGACTCCACATCCTGCCTTCCCATCCCTAGCTACTGACCCATCACAATATACATGTAGAGTGTTTTCCGTAGGCAGTTTTCTAATTATACAATCATATGTTGCCCTCAGCTCTCCTATTTCATACATACTTTTTTTCTTATGCAAGGGAGTAATTACTACATCTACATTACAATCCTCCCATGGTGGTGTAAATTTTCTCTTGGGCACAGCAATACACTCTGTAATAACATCATACTTTATAACATTATAACATAATTTATTCATATATACTCTCTTCTTCATCATACACTGTTCACTACTTCCCACCTTTTGAACCGAGAGGATTAATTCATTAGCTCCCCCACCTCTCATTAATCTAATGGCAGAGGCTACATTTATCTCTGAAATTCTATCCCCAATACTCTGCAGATTCAACTCCATCCTCATTATCTCAATCATAGCATTTCTTGGGCATCCTAAGATAATTCTCATTGCTTCATTTTGTACCTTCTCCAACTTGCCCATCCTACCTTTACCAAAACAAGAAATGACAGGTGCAGCATAATCAATAAGAGATCTTACAGTACTCAAGTATAACATTCGTAGCACAGGGACTCCCACTCCCTTTCCACAGCATGCCAAAGCCTTCAGAGGTTGTAATCTCTTCCGACATTGACCCAACAGTCTGTTCATCTCAGCTTCCAAACTCTCATGGGTATATCCAACATATATGCCTAAATATTTATATATATTAACTCTCTCTATATTTTTATCGTTTATTTTCAAAACAATGGGGCTCCGAC